ACGAGCTCGCCTTGTCCCTTTCTTCCTTGCCTTTGTAGATCAAACTCATTCTACTTTCGCGCCAGTGAGCAGGAATCCTCTTGGATTTTATAGCGTGCTCGATGGCTCCATACAAGTGCGCCTGTCCCGCTGGTCCCAAATGGTTGATAATTCCATCCGGTCCTGTTGCCGTACTTTTGGGAACACTGTGTTCTGCCTTTTTCCAGTCCAAAAATTCGATATTAAATTTTTCATCTGCCACTCTTTTATTTTCCACCTGTGTCCAGTTAGCCGACCTCTCGCGTGCTTGGCCGAAAGTATTTCCTATGACTCCATGTAGGTATTCTAATGCGCTGTCCCCCAGGAGAACGTTGCCGTCCCCGTCCTGTATCTGAGTCTGCATCTCTTTAGTCGTCGTTCCCAATGCTTTTAAATGGTTCCAGAGTTTTCGGGGGGCGCTCTTATCCTTCTTACGTATGTCTGATACCCATTTTTCACTCGCAGCTTTAATCTTCGCTTGTACTAGTTTCTGCACCCCAAATTTCTTTTCTCGGTACCGGCTCCACCGTAACTGCACCTCATCATCCTGATACCCCATTTGCTTTGCTTTTCTGTGCAGTTTAGAGGCCCGTCGTCGCTCTTCAATAGCCAGTTTCATTTCCTTGCCATTTCCTTGTCCCACCAGCTTCGTGGTTTCCGTTTACCCCTCTAGCGGTTTTTTTTCCTTACTTTGTTTATTTCCTTTTGTATACAACTAACAACCTCGTCATATTCCCACACCTTTGTTGGCTGTGCTTCTAATTCTCTTTCGAGGCTATTGACGATGTCTGCTATCTGATTTTCACTTACTTTCGGGAGCCCAACCTCCTGTGTTTTCTTCCTAGCCCCCCCACTGTCAAATTTCAGGATTATACGCCTGTGGTCGCTGCCCAGACTGTTTTCTCCTTCTTCATCTATCGTCATTTGGTTCAACCGCTCGTACGTGTGTTCTGAGACCAGGCCGTAGTCTATGCAAGACTGTCTACTGCCGCTTTGCCACGTTATCTGCCCGTCGCGTTTATGTTCCCGGTTAACTATTACCAGTTGCTGTTCTTCACACATATCGATAACCATTGCACCGTTATAGTCTGTATATCCATCCAGATCCTCAATGTGGGCATTTAAATCTCCTACTAATATCACCTCGCCAGATTCTTTAAATTTTTTTATGTCCTTCCTGAGGCAGTCCACCCACTCTTTATTTTGTTCTCTGGCGTCATTCCCTGTCCACAGATAGGCCACTCCCAACCGTGTCTTTTTTCCCCCCACCGTTCCACTAACTCATAAGTGCTCCTTACAGCCCTGATTTTCCCTCTGCCAATTCCTTCCTTGCCTAATCAACATGCCCACGCCTCCACCCTTCCTTTCTCCAGCTGCCCTGTTTTCCACATATAGAAGCACTGCCCTCCAGCGGACATTTCAAGGACTAAACGAGAGGTGGCACACGCACACTTTCTTGCAGCTTGCGCTTCGTGTCTACTTCCCACCTTTAACCACCTCGAGTTCATGGTATATACTAGTTCAGTGTATTCATGGCACTGTGGCCCAACGCTCGTTAAACTTCTAAAACCAAGGACGTTACGCCCAGCGAGTATAACGTAGCAACCCTTTCTTGTCAAATAGTGCTTAATGTACATGCCAATGGCTGCTAATTGGGGATGAGAGACAGGAGAATTCGGCTTTTAGTTAACGCGCATGCTGCGAATTTTTTATTGTTCAGCAACGCACAGGAGAGTTCTCCCGCCGGCACCACCTTGCAGATCAAAGCGCAAGACTGGTTACACACTACGACTACGACGAGGGACGAACGCGTGCCGCTTTAAGGAGCTTCGCCCCTAAAAGGAAAATCACTCTGAGCGCTGAGCTTCACCTTGAGGAGTACAGAGAACGCGACAGCGTAATTGGACCGTGTGTGCGTCGCCCTCTCCATGTCTTCTCTGCTTGGTCGACGCCTCAACCGTGTCACGAGGAAAGGCACTTTTCACAGTATTCTATATACAATGCCCCCTGCAAGTAGGTATTTTAGAATAGGAGCCTGGAATATTTATTTATTAATTCATCAGCGTGCACTCAATGCCATGAGCATTACGGATGAGAGCGGATCAAACACAAACAAAAGCGTAACATAATATACTCTCCTATTAATTCGTTTGTGTTTTATCCACCCTCACCTGTGATGTATATACTCAGTAAAAATAAAAATGAAAACAATTTCAACATTGTGCCTCACGAGAACAGTAATTACCACCACTTGATCGATAAATAAGGGGACTCCACTCGCTTTCTGCGCACGCTTAAAAAACTTCAGGTTTTACAATATGGAATGCATATACCTCGTAACGATAAGCAATGGAATGGGACATTTAGCGTGGTTATAACGTAAATCTGTCATGAAGGATGTTATTGTAATATAAACTATGAAACACGTTCAGACAGGAAAATTTTCTATGTGCTTGTGGGAAAACCACGCTTCGGAGTTTAAAGGCACCAAATGAAGGAGACGCAAACGCCAGCATCCATGGTAAAAGAGCGTGTTCTATTTCGGCTGGTCTCTTCCTCTTCCTCGTCGTTCTCCATACTTTCTTTTTTGAAGTATTCTACGACAATGTCAGCTGGTATGACTTTGAGCAGAACTTCATTCAGCATAGCCGCGTAGGATGACTCCGTGATTCCAAGACTACGCAGTCCCCTCCTGTTTAGTTGAACTGTGTCGAAAAGCTTGCGCAGAGCAGTGACATCACTCGCTAATTTCACTGGTTTGAGCGTGCGCAAATTTCCTAAGTACTTCTGCTCAATGACTTTCTTGTTTCCAAACCGACGTTTCAAAATTTCCAGCGCGTCATCGTAACAAGAATCTGTCACCTGAATACCGGCGACGGCCTGAGCTGCAGGTCCATCTAGAAGTGAGGCCAAGTAGTGAAACCGGTCTGTGTTGGACAGCCTTGGGTTCTCGTGCACGGAGTACAACCTTGGGTTCTCATATCGGAGCACAACTCCAAATGGATCGCCCGAACGACGGCACACGTAAAAATAATGATATAGGCCTTCACGGGACTGGTTCCTTTCACAAAAACGGGACCAGCAAAGTCAACACCCACAACTTGAAAAGGGTGTGATCTCTTAACCCTGTCGGTCGGCAGTGGTGCGGTAGGGGCTGTTGCAGGTTGGGGCTTGAATCTAGCACACACTTTGCACCTAGAGAGCACTTTTTTCACAGTGCTGTTTGAGACTCAGGAGAAATGGTGGATTTCAGTGTTTTTGAGCTCGCAGTGCGATTGTAGTTAGAATATTACATCTATCCTGTTTACACTCTACGATATATGAACATATACGTATTCATAATAAGTGACGTTTTCTAATGCGAAGCTGTCCAAGAGGTAAGTAGGTTGACCGTTAGCGTTTCGGCTGGCGCAAATAGCGTCGCATTTCTTGATATTTATATAGTTCCATTACATATTTGGCACATGACGGCGCAGCAGGTTTATCGAGTTTGTTGGTGTGAGTTCTGTGCGCCTGGATTGTTATACATGAGAGAGTTCCTGCCAGAGACAGAGCAGTTTTGAAGCATTCCAGCCAACAAGTCAGTGAGGACAGTGTAAGTTCTAGTAATTTTTCTTTGAAGCTGTGCGCTCCGCCGCAGTGGTTTAGTGGCTAAGGTATTCGGCTGCTGACCCGCCTGCGGTGGCTGAATTTTCCATGGAGGCCAAAATTCTGTGGTCCCGTGTGCTCAGATTTGGGTGCACGTGAAAGAAACACAGGTGGTCGGAATTTCCTGAGTCCTCCACTACGGCGTCTCTCATAATCGTATGGTGGTTTCGGGGCGTTAAATTCCACATACCAATCAATCAATCAATCAATCAATCAATCAATCAATCAATCAATCAATCAATCAATCAATCAAATCTTCGAAGCCGTGAACCGGAATAGCTCAATAAGGCTACCATAACACTCCACCTTCAAGTTGGCGCAGGTACTTGTTTTTTGGGAAGTTCGCGGAGCACACGTTGTGCTATCAGCACTGGAAACTGAAGTCAGAATCGATAGGGGGCAGCGTAAGCAGCGCACTAGCCGCACGTTTGCCAACATGCGCGAAATTTCGTCACTCGGTCGCGCCGTGCGTGGCGTGCGTGGCGCTTCGATGCGCGCCAGCCGTAAGCCGCGGAACATAGTTAAACTTCTAATTTGGTGTTAGAAATACATGTATACATTTTCATCGCATAGAAATTCACTCGGGAACGTCACGCTACATATGTGGCTGGCGTTAGGATCACGGTCACAGCGGATACAGCTGCACGACAGCCTGTTACGCTCACAGCTGCCCGATGTGTTCCGTTCCATCAATACACACGTATCGTGTTTCTAAGGCTTAAACACTATGCATATGCTGTCATGATGACACACTCTACCGTCATCTAGCCACAGTGCGTACTTGACCGAGTTCTCTGCGACTTCCGAGTGTATGCTTTGACGTTCGCACTTTCGCCTGGATGCAATATCTGCTCTGCCAGTTCGAAAGAAAGGACCAATACCGAAGGCAGTGATAAGAGTTCATCGTGCCTGCAAACACTCTCTTCAACAAGACACTCCTACTTACTTCCGGCTTAGGAATAGCACCAAGGTCAGTCGTGCGTTTGCCTTTAGTATTCTGTAGGTGTCCGGAATTACTAAAGAAGGAAAAAAAAAAACAATACAGAAGCGTACACAGCTAACGGCATCTCCATATTTTCACAGGGTATCTCGCGACTCCTAATCAGCGATGAGGTAGCAATCATTCTATTTTATTACAATAAAGTGTGTGCGAAACGAGTTAGCAGTCCTAAGCGTCGCAGTGGGCAAACAGACGGACTGGCACTCAACGACATCCAAGATATCAGCGCTTCCTAAAACACCTGACGTGCCTCGGTGCAGCCATGGAGAGGCTTTCGTTATCTGTGTACTTAGTACACGCATGTCATTTTGTCGCTATCTCGAATAGACATCGTTGTAACAGTTTCTCGCAGACCCAGTGTACTGCGGTGTACGGTATTATTCGTCCTGTGCGGCTCATCGAATGACCAACCGCTTTTCTTTGCCACATTTTTTCACCAGAGAGAGAACAAGAGGTAAGTCTTTGGAAAATTGGAAGCATTGCAGGCAACCACAGAGCACAGTCGTATGGGAGAATTCTGCAATGACTCAGGGAAATGGGGTTTGCTTGAGAAGACGTTGAAAGACAGGCCAGGGGCAGAAATTTTCGCCGCGGTAGGGTGGGGCACCCCTTTGAAATGGTCATTATTCGCTTGTATGCAATGGCAAAAAAAAAAATTCGGCAAGGGGAAAGGGCATGAGCCTGGTGTGCCACCCCAAGGTCGCAGGGTGCAGAGAATATAATAATAATAATAATAATAATAATAATAATAATAATAATAATAATAATAATAATAATAATAATAATAATAATAATAATAATAACGATGCTGATGTTGATGGTGATGATGGTGATATCTCGTGTTTTAGTTCAAAAACCACTATGAGGGACACCACAGTGCAGGGCTCCGGACACTTAGATCGTCCGTTGCCCTGACCACGCACAGTACACGGGCCATTAGCATTTCGCCTCCGTCGGAACGCCATCGCCTCGGCGACCTTCGGGTCAGCAGCCGAGCTTCGTAACATCTGTCTCACCATGGCGGACAGGGTGCCGACAAAGAAGGCATTGTGATATACGAGGTAGTTAGGTGAAACGAATTATATGCTGGTGGAGCGCGCGTGATCAAACTCGCTCCAACATGCGTGAGTGAGTGAGTTTGATCGAACGCACTCCACCATCAAATACAATCCACTTCACCTGACTGCGCATCCACTTCACCTGACTGGTTTTGGGATGTTAAACCTCACACACCAACCAAACCGGAATACTATCGACATCTACCAAGCGCTGCTCTGTACGACATGTGGTGGAAATATATCTGGCTCTACCAAATGTTCCTCGATATGAAAGGCATCGGAATACTATCTGGCTCTACCTACAGCCTGCCTGTATGGGATGTACCGGAACACTATATGGCTCTACCTAGTGGCCCTCTATATGTCATGTTGGCAGTCAGCGGCAAGGCGGGCCAGCGTCACTGAAACATTTTCTTCATTCTTGGCAGTACACAGTGACAAGCCTGGGAGTTAATCGCTGTTTTCGTCAAGCGCTGACATCATAGACGCTCTTCAGCGCATGCGGCCCCCGAATCCCTAGACACGCCCGTTCTTGGATCCACATCACTGCAACCTGGTCCGCTTGGTGTCGGTCATTGTGTGCCGCTAGCAACGTACAAAAAGCCTGCGTTCCCGGCTCGGCCAGGGGAGTGAAACTTCCTATACCCTCCATGGAACGCGATATTCGCTCGCAGCGCCGGACGAACGCCTGGTGTTTGGGGGCGGTATGAAAACATGGCGGCGCATTGCAGACATGCACTGGGGGACGCCATCTTGATGAGGACTGAGGATCCGAGTGGCGAGGGGGGGGGGGGGGTTAGCGCCAAATTCAATGTGGATGCACCAGCAAGCCAAATTGAGCGAGTGGAAGATATTCAGGTGACGAGCACGCGACCTTCTTCCTGTTGCGCAACCCGCCACATGATGAAAACGGCCATCATTGCGTTCTGATTGATGGTCTGCCCATCCACCTATTTGTGCACTACTTATTCTAAGTAAGACGTTGTTTTCGTTTACGTGTACACATAAATTAGACAAGAATAAAGAGCAGAGTTTGTTTGAATGTTTTATTGCCTAAACGTACGGTTTATGCAGTACAAATACAACTTTGCGTACATGAGGGCGCAGTCTGTTGAACTCTTCATCGGCGCTGTGAGCGGGCATTGCAGTGGTATTCGCGGGCCGAGGAGAGCCTGTGAAGAGAAATTGGCGGAGCACAGATTTCAGCGTGACATACATACAGCTGGTATTAGACGTCACATTAAATATTTGCAATTACAATCACTCAGGGCGTTTTCTCACTATTAATTGGTCTCCTCGCGTATTATGTCTCAGTACGAGTAATAAAAAAAGTGTAAACACACAAAAAGAGAACGCTTCGTGTCACTCACCAAATATATGGGTGTCCCAACTATCCTAAACCAATGTTTTAAAAATCTTAATGCGATGTGCGTAGAACAGGTTAACATCGTGGTGCCCGTGATGACCTAGCGCGTAACCGAATTCTTGCCAATTACACTTATTTGGCCCATTGAAAATAAAAGTAATTTTGTAATAATAAAGCTAATAAAAATAAAGTACTTTTTGGATTCTTAATTTGAAAAGTGACTTTGAACTAGGGTGTCGTAGAATATATATATATATTTCTAAAAGGCCAGTTCTGTTGCTCCCACTGTCAGAGCTATCGCGCAATTGTTTTAACAGCGACACCAAGTTGGCCGCTACTCACTCGCCATGTGCGAAATAGCTGATAACGCGCCACATGGAGTACTCTCTCAAGTTATGAGGTCATTTTCGCCTTTTCCTGTAAAACGCTATGCCACGGGTAAAATAGCAGAGATAACTGAATCAGAATCGAGGAGGTTACGTGTAGAGCGTTCTGAGTGAGACGTTTGCTCTAAATTTAACGATTGTGAAGCCGGCAAAGTTTTTACTTAGCTAGTTATATCTACCAGCAAAATCATGCCGGCGAATCCATGGATGCTGTGTACACCATGCGTTGGTATTGTTGGTGTAATCTGCGCGAGAATCTTAAAAATACTGAGTCATGATAACTCGGACAGGTACACATATTGAGTATTAAGACATTTCTGTAAATAGATGTAGAGGCATGAAAGTTTGTGCTGTTGTATGATCACTTTACAGTATTCCCACCTGGACTTTCGACGTGTGTCTGCCCATCGCCAAAGATGGAAACTGTTTGCACAGCACATCTTAGCAGCCTTGTCTGTCTAGGGTCTGCGTAGTCTCTGCTGGTGAAATGGGCAGAGCACAGGCGGTAGCTGCTGTAGATCTGACGAGGTGGTAAATGAGCCAGGTCCTGCCGTCTCGCATACTGAAGCCAAGCGCGAGATCTGGAAAATCAATGTGTGCGTGTGTAGTATGTGGGTTAGAATGGATTTATTTCTGTTTTCAGGCGTAGATGGATAGCTTTGAGTGAAAACTGGCATCTTTATTTGAAGTAAGCGTTATTTGATACATTTCTCATCTTCCTTTCTTAATTGAATTTTTGTAACCAAGACGACTTGTGATAGCAATCCTGAAAGCAAACTTCAAAATAAAATCTGTCTTTATTATTAAGAGACGTGGATACATGCTTCTACTTGCGCGATAGTAATGTTTGGTGGCAACGACCCCAGCTTTCCTCCTAATTCAAAATATATTTTTGCAGACAATAGCAATCATCCCACACCAAAATCTCTAAACAACTATTCGTACATATATACCCTCGCGCACTGCGTATTCCTCGGGTATTTCTCGCGCCCTGCTGCAAATCTTTCATAAAAACCTTATTAAAACCGGTAATAAATTAGTAGAACACGTAAGTTTACATTGTCCAATTATTTATGGGCTTTTAGCTGCAATTGCATTCTTGTAAATATATCGTAATTGTACTTAGGACTGAAACTGAAAACATGAAATTGAAGTATACATTATAAATTATTACTTTATAAATTTATTGCTAAATTCCTCTGCAATATGCCGTGGATTTACGTGAGGCCAAAATGAAAACACACAATTGAAACGCAATAATGTAATAACATCCGTCTAAACTCGCAAGTGTAACAATTTATGTACTCAGTACTTAATTAACATAGTACTAACAACACATGCTATGAACGTATATGGACCCTCCCTTATAGCCAAAAGATTATGGGAATCGCCTTCCTCCAGCTATGGACATAAATAGGCTGATAATATTCAAGAATAATAATAACGCATGCAACGAGAACAGACTGAACGCAGGCAATCAAAAGGTAATAAAAAGAGTGCGAATAAGCTTACACTGTTCTATTAGTTACTGTATATGCTGCTACAAATACATTTGTGACATGCCTTGCATTGCCTTGAGCCAAAGTGCAACATCGAAATGCAATGCACGATCGAAACGCATTAAATTGAAAACGCAAGTATAAACAATCGTGCGTAGCAAATGTATTTGCTGGAATAATTTCCAGATGCTCTGCCGCGCATGTCATGTATAATTGAAGCCGAAAAGCAGACAATCAGAATGTAATGAATAAATCATGTACGTGTAGCTCAATTAAATTACACCGCTACTGCAGCAACCGCATCCTGATATGCCGTGCAAGCGTAGAAAGACAAAACGAGCAGCATGCAGATCGTACCTTTCGTCCGCCGGGATCCGAAAGAATTCTATGCCGGTGTGTCGTGAAGAATTCCGACATCACTCAGCGCAGCACAATTTGTGATGACGGCGAGAATCCATGGATGCGTCTGTTTGGCTGAATCTTGCATGGGTTTCGCTAAAACAAACTTTACAGCGGTAAAAGCGGCCTTTGGGACACCGAAGGCTGTAGCATACATGGGCGCGCGAAAAGAAACGCCCCTTTTTCGCCGTGAGAGGTAGGACGACTGCGCAGTTCCCGTTTTCCACTTCGGGTGGCGCTCTTATTTTCGCAATCTCGAACTGCAACCTTTAGGTTCACTTGTGTAGTAAAAACTCCGGAGTTAATGAGTAACCTAGTAATAACTATAAAATAGAACAAGAACGTTCATTTAGGTAGTACAGCCCCCAAACGTTAGGATCGCTGCGGTCACGGGACAGAAAAACCGCGAAGTTTCACCCCCCTGGCTCGGCATTGCAGTCAGCGGCAAGGCGGGCCAGCGTCACCGCAACATTTTCTTCATTCTTGGCAGGTGGGTCCCTAAACTTCACCTTGCATATAGTGATTTGGTTATTGCCGCTGACTGCACTGCAATGTCTTCCTTGTGTTCATCATGTACCAAACCGTCGAAGGCAAATTCCTGGTGTGCTCGGCTTGTAAAGCAAGCTTTCACTTAGAAAAAAATTGTTCCGCGATCACAGACAGCGCTTATATCAAAATGTCTACGGTTAAGCGTGAAACGTGGGCGTGTCAGATGTGCAAGTCTGGCATGGGTTCGGGTGATAGCAATGGTTCACTTGTTCCCCAGTTATCTACTGTTAATACCGAATTGGACCAGCTGACTAGCACTGCTGAGATGCTTGTGTCGAAAGTTGAGGAACAGCTCTCTTTCAAAGAAACCTGTTGAAAGATGGCGGGCACTGTGACAGAAATTAAAACGTCTATTGACTTCGTGTCGGAAAAGTACGATTCCACGCTCTCAGTATATGGATAATATACTATGACTTGTAACCAAGCCAAAATCTCTCATTTAAGATCGCAGGTGGGATCTGTTTCCGTTACAGTTGCCCATCAAGCTGAAGCTCTTGACAGAACGACATTGCAAATAAGTGAACTAGAGTAATATGGTAGACGTTGTAACTTTTAAATCCATGGTCTCCCTTCTAAACCAGGTGAAAACCTGAGGTCCTTCATTAGTGACTTATCTGGACTTTTGAACCTAGTAAACTTTCAAGAAGATGAAATATGCGAGGTACATCGTTTGCCAACCCACGATAAATCTATACGCAGCCCACCAATTCTTGTGCAAGTACAGAACACTTCAGTAAAAGAAAAATGGCTTCGAGCTCGAAATGGCCTTCGTGATCTTGCCCAGTCCGATAACTTTCCTCGTTTGTTTATTAATGAAAACTTGACACGGATTAACCGAGAACTCTTCCGATTGACCCGCTCGAAAGAAAAAGAAAAAGGTTATAGCTTCGTGTGGACGAGGAACGGAAAGGTGCTAGCAAGAAAAGCTGAAGGAGCACCCTACAATTCGCATTGAAAAACTGTCAGATTTGGATAAGATGGTCTAAACATGGCAGATATAGAAAGTATCACCTGCACCGACTTCGCGAATGCAGTTAAATTCTTTCTGGTGCCTCATTCGACGGCTTTAAAGTAGCGCATGTCAATATTCGTAGTCTTCGGAAACATTTGAATCAGTTCTGTGCCATCACTTCATCATCTCGCCTAACTTTCGATGCTTTCATCCTTACTGAAATCAACATTTCATCCGAACAATTCTCACAGTTTGCTCTGCCGGGTTACCAAGCCTTTTCATACACACGCCAAACAAGAAAAGGAGGAGGCATTGCCGTTTTTATAAGCAACAGATGGGCAGTTTCACAGCTATCTTTTTCCTTTACACAAGCCGAAGTGTTAGCATTGCGCTTGAACACGCCTGCTTTTTCGGTGACTCTCTTATCGGTGTACCGGCCGCTCAGTTTCAATACGCACCTTTTCTTATCTGAACTTGAGTCCGCACTATCATCCTTATCGATAGAAGAGCGTGTGTGCATCATAGGAGACGTCGACATTGACCTTTTGCGTCCCACTGTAGGCCTCGTTGCTGATTATCGAGACAGCCTTTCTAAATGGGGCTTAGAGTGCCGAATAAATCAAGCGACTCGAGAGGAATTTTTGGCTGGAAAGCTCGTCGTGTCGTGCATTGACCACGTTTTCATGCGTGCGCAGAACCTGCTCACAAAAACCGCAATAGTACAGACGAAGATAGCTGACCATTACTTTGTTTGCGGCTTAATCAGCTGTCCACATATGACGACGATGCCAACCGATACAAAAAAAAAAAACTAATTTCGGTGCTAGATTCGAAAAAAATTGATAATCTGGTAGCTCATTATGACTGGAATTCTTTTTTGTCAATAACATCTCCTAGTGATCTCTACGATAAAGTTGTAGAAGCGTTCATAAGCTTAAAAGAAAGTGCGACGCGAACAATACACATTAAACAACGTAACTCGGATAATAAATGGATGTCAACGCATTTACTCGCTGCAATAAAAGAAAAGGGCTTGCTTTGGACACAATGTAGGCGTTATCCTAACTGTTTCGACTTACGAGCCAAATTTAAGCAAAGCAGAAACAAGGTTCATGCTATGATTCGCTCGGCTAAACGAACACATTTTCGAGCCAAATTTAAGGATGCCAGTAAGAGCAGTAAAAAAAACCTGGGCATTATTAACACCTTTAGAGGCGCAAACACTTGCGTCAATATTTTGAATAACTTCTTTTCGTGTCAAGCCAATAACGCACAGGAGATTGCTCATGAATTTAACAACTTTTTCTTTCGAACCATTAAAAACACAAATTCCCATGTAGGCCCGTGCACTCTACGCCACAGTGTTAGCGAATCGGATTATCTACCTTCAATCTCACAAGAGGACTTACGATCTATCATTTTCAGTTTGAAGTGTAAAAAATCTGCTGGTATTGATAGTGTTTCTGTAACTAACTTGCACCGTACATTTGAATACACCCATGAAGTTCTGCTAGCACTACTAAATCGCATTATTGATAGTGGAGAAATTTCCATAAACTTGAAAACATCAATAGTTATACCTCTACACAAAAGCGGTGCGCGTGATAAACTTGAAAATTATCGTCCGATATCAATTCTGCCTTCCATAGCATAAATACTGGAAAAACATTTGTTGTTAACGATGTCAAGCTTTCTCGGTAGTCGCAACATTTTATCGCCTTGCCAGTATGGCTTTCGACAGGAGAAAATGCACTCAGACGCTATTGGAAGATTTCTCTGATCAGTTGAACGAGGCGTTCGATAACAACAAAGTTGCCTGTGTGCTCCTTCTTCACTGCAGCAAGGCTTTCGATAGTGTCCATCATACCTTGTTATTGGATAACCTTTTTCAGTTAGGGTTTAGGGGTGCTTTCTGGTCTTTGTTGGCAAATTTCCTCCAAGGCAGGCGTCAACTTGTACCCGTTGAACAATCTCGCAGCGCGTTACAAATAATCAAAACCGGTGTTCCGCAGGGATCAATTCTTAGTCCGCTGCTATTCAGTATTTTTGTAAATGACCTTCACAGCGCGATACCGGTTTCTCTATATCAACACGCCGACGACACTGTGATCGTGACGACTGCAAACAACTTTTATGAGACGATTACTCTTCAAACAGCTGCCACTAAAGCCATGGATTGGTTTCGAGATCACCTTATTAATATAAATGTATCTAAAACGAATCTAATCTGTCTTCATAATCCATTGAAGAAAGTAACCCTTGACTATCCTTTCATTTTGCATTGTTCTGACTGTTCATGCTGCTCTTGTAGGCCATTACAGTATTCATCTGTTGTGAAATACCTTGGCTTATATCATTGACAGTGACCTTTCCGGGAATAGTCATCTCGCCTATGTTTGCAAAAGACTTCGTGCTGTGTCATGTCTATTATATAACATAAGATACTACATGCCGGTTTCAGTACGTGAGATGATAGCACACGCTTTAGGTTACAGTATACTGCGTTACGGAATAATCATTTACGAACACTGTGCTGTCCGGTGGCACACTAGAATAAACAGAATATTGCGTTCGATTTAAAAAAAAATATATCTTACGACCTGAACATGAATTCTGAGAGAGACATTTTCGAAACGCTGTTTATGCCAAACTTCAATGATCTGTTAATTCAAGGGGTTGTTTTAAAATATTTTCTGGTCCAAAGAATTCCTGGTTCCGTATGTTACCTCTCGTTATTTAAGGCCCAAAGTACGTTACTGGAGGCTGCGGTGTTCAACAAAGTATGGAACTAGAATACGAGCCCATTATGTGGCCCAACCTATTTCAATGAACTAGCCCCCAGCATTTTTCGCACAAAAACAAAATACAAAAATAAAAAAACTGCTACGGCGTATCTGTCTACAATTGTAATGCATGTAGTGTGTTATTTCATATACACTCATTCGCAAACATGATGCTGCACAATCATCCAGTGTGGTACTTTACTTAAAAAAACATTTGCTCTAATTCTGTTCTTTTTTCCTTTATACCTTTTAACTTTCAATTGCTGTAACTATTGTATAATGCTTGTAACTATTGCTTGTATGCCCTGTTGTTTCTAATCTTATATGCACGTTGTTTTTTGTCCTGTCATCCCTCTTAGGCCATGAAATACGATCATGTAACTCGTCCGGTTTGTTTTGCTGTCTGCCAGGCTCTGCCACTCAGGCCACCAATTGGCTTTGGCAGGCCTAGTCACATGTAGTGTTTTATTTGAAGAAATAAAATGTATTATTATTATTATTATTACTATTATTATTATTATTATTATTATTATTATTGTTGTTGTTGTTGTTGTTGTTGTTATTGTTATTGTTGTTATTAATAATAATAATAATAATAATAATAATAATAATAATAATAATAATAATAATAATAATAATAATAATAATATTATTATTATTATTATTATTATTATTATTATTATTATTATGTACCGGAACAATATCTGGCTCTACCCACCGAGTTCCTGTATATGTGATATACTGGAATGCTATCTGGCTTTATCGGCCTTGATTCAATTTCAGTCTTCCCTGTGCACCCCCACCCTGAGCTGCTGCTGTCGTGCTCTCTGCGCTCCATTTGTGGCGACTATAGAGTTTCCTATATGTGCACTAGAGGGAACAATAGTGCTAGTGTCTATAACTGCAACACACGGTGCTTCAGCGAGCATGGGAATGAATGGGTAGTACATGAATTTGTCTAATCTTCGTACTTATTCTTCCGTGTGGCTTCGCGTGGCCTGGATTTGTTTTGTCACGAAAAAAAAAAAAACGGCAGGTTTTCAGCTGTTGCACTTCACACCTTAACCTTTTAAGCTCACCATTTAAAAACGGCTCATGAAGTTCGCAACTACCCGTTCTTTCATTCGAAACAAAACCAAAACACGGAAATAAAAAAGCCACATGCGTGTGCAAAGCCCGCATGTACAAAGGCTGGGGCATATGCTTGTACTACCCACCATTCCCATGGTCGCTGAACGATCGCACGCTAGAAGTTAATTTTGGGAAACTCTATGATGGTGACATCTTCGACGATCAAGGATGGAGGCTACTCTTGGTGAATATAATCACGAATGATTGGATATTTGAAAGTTGTTCGTTTCTGTGACAACGCTTTCCTCAACATTTTCACGGACTATTGCCGATAGCGTACGATGACAACGAAAGGAGCTTACATCGAGTAGAGATGGTCCTTACAACAGTTTAGCATCAGTGCAGCAAGTAGATGAAGTGAGAGGGCTGCCTAAGTAAAACCATAATCAGGAGTTGTTAGGACGACTACTGGAAAGTAAACCACACCGTATAAGTAAAGCACAATCGGAGGTGGTTAGGACGAGTACTGGAAACCAGGATGTAGCTTAGGACCAGAAGTGGGTAACGAAATTCGCGTGCGAGGCAACTTGCATAACAGAAGTTGTGTATAACCTCGATGTCACGTGGCAGGGTAGGGAAGAGATGTCAAGCGCATGACCACGTATACGACACAGCACATGGTCTTGTATACGCCAAATCATCGCCTTCATGCAATCTCAAATCGATGGCCGAGTTCTCTCCCGATTTCTTTTTCCTTGTTGCAGGAGCTATCTAAGATGGGCTCTTTTGACACGAATGGGACCTATGCCCGTGGAATCGTGGACGAAGCGGTCCTGTCTCGAACCGAAGCCTTGCACGCCGTGGGTCGCTTCCTGTGGGAGAACCCAGGAGATACGCTTCGAGGAGCACAAGGCGCACGACACGCTGTGCGCCTTCCTCGAGGGCGAGGGATTCGACGTACGCCGACACCACTTCCTGGACACGGCGTTCCGCGCGGAGTACGGGGGTAACTATATAGAATGCTCTATCGTCGGCACAGCAAAATGCAGGGACATGTCGCATGCATAGACGTTCGATAAAGTTAGCGTCATCGAGAAACATCTTTCTAGTTAACACACTAAACACCTTTGCGGTATTGATGCTATTACGGGCTCAATGTTAGAAAAAATACTGACACGATTTGAACACATCGCATAAAGTTCGTTTCCTTGGTATGCAGTGCCAACGCTCTCCACACACTTGAGACGGACAACACGTACAAAGTGTTTTATTTTGATTTTGAAGATTTGTTGATGTGAATCTGCAAGCTGGTTCCACGGCAGTGGACATTATTCCGACGAGTCGATACATTTTCTGAGTTTGCGAGCTCTGCGTCCTGCGCGCAGCCTAAATCGCAGAAATCACTGTCAGGGTCACTGTACGACAGTTCAACCATATTTGTTACCTCCACCACGAGCGGATGACATATTTGCCATTCGGAAGTCACCATGATATATATTCATGGGACCTGCTGTCACGCGTCATGGAGGAGACGCCCCCATGATATCGAAACCGAAAGAAAGGGCAAAAACTATATTTGATGCGTTACCAAGCACACCCGTTTTAGGTTTCTCGGCACCAGCACTTTCATTTAAAGCAACAATTAAAAAATTAAATTTTTGTTGGTACTCCTTTAGCGCTCGTTAATGTCAAGGCTCGCCACATATGAAATGGTAACGATCGTTGAATTATCGATTGCATTAAATAATAATACTGTTTAACTGTAATAGTTCGAAAATTACCCGTCAACTTGGATGATCGATCACCCTCTGAATGCGACTAACTTAAGCGAGCCGCACATTATATTAACGGCCTCTTGCTTACTCATGGCACCACCGCCTTATATACACTTTTCTAAACAAGACACGTTTTCTTATACGTAGGCTGCACTTCCCGGTAGGCTGGGAGCTTGTCCCTCTTTATAAAAAATGGATCGTACTCCGTTGCTCCGCCATGAACCTGTGAAGCATAACTGTTATCTTGAATTACTGACAGAAGCGATGTGTCATGTAGGTACGTGCTGAAAAGGCTGAGCCTATCCAAAGCTCCGCCATTGTGAACGAGTATGTTTACTTTCTGTTTCGAGTCATATTGTGGCTTCAGACAGGAGCAAAGACATTCCGATTCGTTACTTTAGCTTCACTACATCTCTGAGGCCAGATAACCATAGCTTGTCTACCCACGGAAGCATTTTGTGCGGTTCTTCCATGACGAGACATAAAGAGAGAGAGAATAAAAATATTTGCCCCCACCTACCCGAAGAGAATCGCGAGCAAATGCGAATGCATTTCTTGCGCCGAGAGTACACGGCGTAGTAATTTTATTGGCATAAATTGATGACGAGGCGAGGATTTGTACCGTAACCATTCATTTACACATTCATAGGCCAGCGGAAGGTTCTGAGGGCACGCGCTTCACTCCATTCATATATACGTGCCACGGCCTCTGCACGAAAAGCGCACGTACGAGCGAGCGGGCGGGAGAGTGGGGTGCAGGGAGGAGAGAGAGCGATCGTTGAGAGAAGTAGCGGCGAAGCGCTGCACATACTCTCTCCTTCACTCTCATAGGCACTGGGCCGTGCTCCCGACCGGGTTGCAGAAGTTGGGTGCCTTTCTCCTCTTCTAACCACTACCACCACCACTCTCACACGCAGGAGCTCCACTGAGCTTCCGCAATGCGAGTGCCATCACACGCCAGAGCACGCTCCTCCTCTCCACTCGCTCTCCGCTACACTAGGCGGTTATGAAAAAGAAAAGAAAAAAGTGCCGTGCGTAACTTTGTATGTAACTGTCTGTATGTAACCTCAACAGGGGGGCACAAGGATAGGGCAGTAGGAATAAAAGAGATACGTAAATAAAAGGCAAGAGAGAAAAAAAAAAGGTAGGACCCATTCCCTCCGCCTTTCCCAGCACGCGCCCGAACCACCTCCGCCCGCACCACCAGCTCCGGTTGCTATAGGGGCGAGGATAAGCGCGCTCGGCCACAGTTGTTGCTATGGGATAGGGAGTGAGAGTGGAGAGATAACACCTGACTGTGCGCGGACGCCGACAGACGCCTGACATGCCCCAACTAACAAATGCCTTCGCATTGAAAAAAAAAACGCAGACGCCCGGACTTCAAAGAATTACAGTGACAGTTCGAGAAACTCCGGAAGCGTACAGCCCTCGAACTTCCGTTGCTATTGGTTTCAACTTTAAGTTATTGACACCTCTTTACGAACGTGCTACCAAAGTTCCAGGGGAACTAGTGGCACAGTGAGAAATATATTTTACTGTTACTGAAGCTCTACGTACATACACCTTTGCACAACAGGAAACACAAGAACTTGTGCTGTGAGGTGCATACAGCCATTTTTAATGTCTAATGAAAACATAGTCACTGGAGAATCACCATAATGGTACGAATGTGCCTACGCGATATGTGCACTTATTCTTCCATGTTCCTGTGCAGTGGTTCAATCACTGCGAGCAAGCGTTAATGTGACGTGTATCACGGAACAACGCAGCGTGATAACAATCCAGTCCACTGTACAACTGGTCCTAGAAGATAAGCCACATACAAGATGTCCCTATATATAGTGGACACCTTTGAAATAGATGTGCTATCAGAGGCTCCTGTCTTTTTAGGACATGAGAGCTACGTCGAGGCATAAATACTTTGCCGCAGGTAAAGTGACATCGATGTGGCTAATTAACAGAAGCTAGTTCATTAACTTTTGACAATATTGACCCGAGGGCAACTAATTATAAGGGAGCGTTCTAGTCGAGGGTTTCGTGGTAAACTCAGTTTTTTTAGAAGTCACAAAAGTCGCTCGTAGATTTAGATATCCATAACAAGTTTTGATAGACATATCAAAATGGACCACGCCTGGAGCATTAGAAACGCGGTGACTGTTGCGTCAGACAGGAACTTTCCGGGCCAAGAAAATGACGAACTTTGAACCGAAGTGCGTCAAAGCAGAACCTGCTGTGCAAATACGCCAGTAGTCTGCAAATAGACCAGCAGCTTTCTCATTCTTAGTGTGTGATATTCGGTGATGTGTACAAGGACAAAATCCCCATCTCCCCGAAAGGAATCGTCAGAAAATACGAAGGCATTTCTTGGTCCGAGAGAGGGTACCGTTGCCGTCAGAAATTTACCTTCACCGATTTCTGCCATCGCCCTGAGAGGCGCTGAGCCAGCAAATGGTCGAGGGTGAGAAGCTAGTGGAAGGGAGAGTGGGGAGCCAGCGTTCTCAGCTCGGCGTTGCTGTTTCACAGCGGCGTCTCCAGCACACATTTCCGGATATTCTTGAGAGGCGCCCAGCCCGCGAGAAGAGATTCTCGAAATAAAGGGGGGTGAAGAGTTGGGTTAAGTGACGCAGATACTTAGCAACATTTTCTTGGGTTACGTGAACAAAAAAATTGAAGCCAACATAAGGGCCTTGCAAAGACCATATTTAGATATGTTGACGATTACCTAATTTTTGTAGAACACACTGTACTTGACAGGGCTATAGTAGATATCTTAAATGTTTTCAGGGACTGCAGCGAGGGCCTCGAGTTTACGTGGGAAGTGCCACGGGAAAGTCAGCTTCAGTTTTTGGACTTGATGTATCACGTAAGCCAGACCATGTTTGCTGGTTATATAGCCCACGATCTGAGAAGCCCCTGCTTAGCTATTCTTCCGGCATTCAAAGACAGTTAAGAATGGCATAGCATTCTCTTGTCTCCGCGCTGCCTTGGCCAAATCTTGTCCCCACAAAGTTAATGATAGCTTCATCAGACAAGTAGATAGATGGCTAGTGCGGGTTACGAAGAGCATGTTCTGCGCAGAACCGCACAGAAGTTGGTTCATCGTGGTGCGCAAGAATATATCTTCGGAGCAGCCTCAAATTGAGAGGAATTATGAAGAAAGGAAAAAGAAATGTGTCTCCATACCCTATGCGCACAGTATATCACATAATCTAGAGAATGTAGGCAGCCGGTATGGCTTACAAGTTGTTTTTTCTGCACCTAACAAACTAGGAAAGATATGCGCTAGGCTAGATAGGAAGCGATTGACAAAAAAGGATAGGTGTCGGTGCTCTGTTAAGCACAGTGTTTTGTTTGGTGAGTGCAGAACCGCGGTGGTTTACTGTTTGCTCATGTCATGTGGGAAAATGTACATCGGTCAAACAGGCCGGTGCATAAATACAAGGTTAACGGAGCACAAGAGAGCATTAGCTAATAATGCTTACTCGCACTTAAGACGGCATTGCTTAGAATGTGGCTGTTCCCCGCTGTTCTCTGAGACTAAAATTCTTTCCAGCCACAGAGATAAGATGACAAGGGAAGTGATCGAGGCCTTCCACATCGCAAAAAGAAAAGATTACTGTATAAGCCAAGCATCGATTACTTGAGCGATTGCGAAGTTGGCTTTTTAGAAAATACGTTTGTCATTGTAGCACGTGGTACACCGTCTTGTTGTATAATAACCAAGGTCGTTTACGAAATAAACTAGTTGAGAGTGCAAGCGGTGTCCCTATCGTCTCTCTTTGTGTGAAACGTCGTGCGCTGCTTATTTGTAATCATGAACAATCACCAACTCGCCCAACTTTCGGTGTTACTGAACTTCATTTACAGTGACAGTTCGAGAAACTCCGGAAGCGTACAGCCCTCGAACTTCCGTGGCTATTGGTTTCAACTTTAAGTCATTGACACCTCTTTACGAACGTGCTACCAAAGTTCCAGGGGAACTAGTGGCACAGTGAGAAATGGAGTATTTTACTGTTACTGAAGCTCTACGTACATACACCTTTCCACAACAGGAAACACAAGAACTTGTGCTGTGAGGTGCATACAGCCATTTTAATGTCTAATGAAAACATAGTCACTGGCGAATCACCATAATGGTACGAATGTGCCTACGCGACACGTGCACTTATTCTTTCATGTTCCTATGCAGTGGTTCAATCACTGCGAGCAAGCGTTAATGTGATGTGTATCA